TTCCCATTACTGGGCTATGTCCCCACACAGCAGGAGCTAAGTTCTGTGGGGACAGCACTAGGCAGGCCCTGGCTCAAAGGGTCTTCTCCCTTTGGAGAGAAGGGCAGGAGAGATGCTAAGGGCACAATTGCTACTGGGACTGCCTGGGGTGCTTGGGTCAGCATCCTGCGACCTGATGCTGTGACACCCAGCACGACCGCTGCAGCCCAGAGCTCCTTTCACCCAGAGCCCAACTGCTCATTTGAATGACCTCTTCTCTCCAAGGTCCAGTTAATAACTCAGTGTCAGCGTTCTCAGAGCCCGCCACGATCCCCCCAGACCTGCTTCATCTCCCTCATGTCATTGCCTCCTTCTTGCTGTTTGAGTCCAAACCATGAATTTAGCCGGACCCCTTGGTCCTCTCACACCTCGGCTTTGCCAGGTCTGCCCACCCACTGCTGCCACCATGGTTCTCTGCCAGGACTCTCGCCAAGGCCTCCCCCCTGCACCCTCTGCCCCCGTCCTCCCAGAGACCATTCTCAGAGCAGCGGGGGGACCCTGTTCAAATGTCCTTCAAACCCTGCCCCCGAGCTCTGGTCTCACCCAGGAAAACCTCAGCGTCCTTGTCACAACTCACGGTGCCACGCGACCCATGCTCACAGGTCTCCCCACACACGCCCCACACTGTGCTCCAGCCACATAGGCCCCCGGAACACACCAGACACCTCCCACCTGTCGCCCTTTGAGCCTGCTGTTCCTCTGCCTGGAACTCTGTTCCCTCCCGACACCCACCTCCCTCTCTCCCCGCCTCTCTAGGCCTCTGCTCAGGACTCCTGTTCTCAGTGGAGACATATGACTGCCCTTTCAGTCCCGGAATCTGGCCTGGGTCAGCATGGGCCTCCAAGAGGCAGATGCCAACCAGGGCTGGGGTCCAAGAGGTTTAAGGAGATAACCCCTGGGAAAGACCAGAGACAGGTTGGAGGGGTAGTGGGTCTCAGGCCTCCCTGGGGTACACCATGCACCCTCCACTCTTGCCCCTACCTCAGCTGTTGCCCCTGCAGTGCTGAGCCCCTGGCTGCTGCAACTTCTTCACTGGGACAATTGCACTTGTCCATTCACAGAGGCCGTTGGGCAAGAGGGTGCTGAGGTGCCTGAGAGCGCCCACCCTCTCCTGCTGGGACACTTACCCTGACATAATGGCAACTCCTCTCCTTGTCTGCTGGCCCCCAGGCCCAAGGAGCTGAAAATGCCCGAGAGATGTAGCAGCTGAGTTCAAGGGGACCCTTCCAGGGTCCCCTGGTGACAATGTGCCGCCTTCAAGACAAGGACCTCTGACCCTGCAGCGTCCAAAATTTTAAAAGCACAAACCCCCAGTGGGCTATTGCTCATGGGCCTTTCCTGGCTCCTGGCCACCATGGTCTTGCCAGAGAAGCAGCTATATAAGGTCTCCAGTTTGTTACCCACATCCTGTAGACCAGTGCTTGTGCTTGAGGGCTATTGCCCCTGAGCTGGTATGCCTTTGGGAAGGCTGTCCCTGTAGCCTGTGAGGCCAGCAGCTCCTGGATGGTGTGTGGGAGGTAACACAGCATGGGCAGCTCCATGGCCATGGGGCCACGCCTGCTCTTCCTTCACTGGGAAGTGGATCCCTGTGAGATGCTTTGCGCATGTGGGTCAGGACTCCACAGGCCCTGGGCTGTGGTGTGGGCTCTGCGGGCAAGAGCAGGTCTGCGGTCCTGAGGGCCAGTGGGGGGAGGGGGTGATGCAGGGAGCTCACCAGCAGGCGGCGACTTGTTCTCCAAGAACGGACCGATCAGAGCTCAGTGTTGACTCTTGCTGGGCGTCAGACATTCAGGGGCAGCAGCAGTGGATGGGCCAGGAGGTGGGAGTCCGTGGGTCTCCAGAGTGGCCACTCCATGTGTGCTATCACACCCGCTCTGGGATGGCCTATGACAGGCTTGCTAATGTCACGTCTTCAGGGTGGATGCATTCTAGTGGGTGTTTTCGTGTGTGATCCAAAACCCAGCAGGCTGTGCCCACGGTCACGTGGCTGTCCACATGGCTCTGCCCAGAGCTCCTTGTCTTCATGTCCAGTCCTTTTCCTGCCAGAACATTGGCCACTACCCCTAAATACGTGAATCACCCCACCTGAGCTACTTTTTTCCCACATGAACTGCCCAACTAGAACAGCCACTCCTGGAGACAGAGTCCCCTTAAGCATGACACTTTGTGGACAGCCGTGTGCAGACCTGCCCCATCCCCACTGCACTGCCTTGGCCAAGACAGACTTCTGCTTTGCCCACAGGATATCAAGCTCCTGTCCAGGCAGGGTCAAGCCGCTGTGCATGGCTGCTAGTCACACTGGTCCACTTGCTGGCCTCAGGACTGTGCCAGGAGTGTAGCCACTGAGAGAGTGGGGTCTGGGCCATGTGTGACCTCAAGCAGGTGCCTCAGTGGGCCTGCCCACCTTTAGGGGACTGATGAGGCCATGCACATAAGTGTCACCTCCAGTCTGGCATACTGGGTGTACGCACCTGCAGGGTCACCACCAGCCCTCTGGACCATGTGTAGAGGAAGACCTCAAGGCTCAGAGAAATTCAGTAACATCCCAAGGTGACACAGCTGGGACCAGTGCCAGGCTCTGAACCCCAGGCCCTCCTCAAACTTTCCATGAGGGTGCAAGGAGATGACAAGCAGGACACAGTGTCCCAGTGCCAGAAACACTGCCAGTGTCAACCCTGATGTGCAGTGGGCATTTTCCATCATCATGGCAGTCAGCTATGCTTGCCCAAAACAGCTGTGGGGTAAGTGGAGCCTGGGCTGTCCCACCAGCTACTGCAGGGCAGATGGACCACCAGGAAAGCTCCCGCAGCCAGGGTCATCTAGCAATTGTGGGTCACAGGTGAAGAGAAGTGGGGAGGGAGGGAGAATGGCCAGGTGGGACTATAGACCTCTTCATTCTTGGCCCTGCTTGGGATCCCAATTTATGTTTCCCATGACAGGATAGGGACACCTAGGCCGGAGCCAGTGAGGGAGCAAGCTGGCCCTTCCACACTTCCATCTGCTGAGCCTCTGTGGGGGGAGGGGTCAGGGACACTGTCTGTCAAGCTAGCCTCAGAGAGTGGTCAGGGAGGAACATGGTCTGGGGGCAGCACCACGCAGCAGGGAGCTGCTGGCTGGGGGTAGGCTCCCTCAAAAGGCTGCATGCCGGTGAGGCTGATGGCTGGATCCAGTCCAGCAGCTCCTTGGAACTTCCTACCTTGACCACTAGGGGGGGGGAGGGAGCGGGGGGAGGGGGTTGAGGTGGAAGCTGGTGGAGGGGTATGACCACAGCCAGGTAGTCAGGGAGGACTTCTAGGAAGAGGAAGACTAGAGTCCAAACTCCTCCCCCACAGCAGGTGCCTAGAAGCCAGGAAGTAGCACTGGCTGGGGTCCTGGATCTGGGGGCTCCTCTCTGCAACCAGCCTAAGGAAGAAGCCCAGCTCCACACTCCCCAAAGCTCCCCGGTGCCACTGGGGCGAGGGGAGGGGATCAGGAGGCTGCTGTGAGTGTGGCCGTGCCTGTTGCTAATACCTGGGGTCTTATCTGCAGCCCCTCCTCCAACACCCGTCGCTCCCACCCACCCGGACAGACAGGCACGGTTCCGTCCTCTTTGAAGCACCTGCAGAAGTGCGCTGCTCTCCCAGGGAACCGCCCCTTCCCTGTCTTCTGTCTGATGTGTCCCAGCCTTGGTGTCTGTGTGTCTGAGTGTGGGCGTGTCTATCTGTCTGCCGTGCACGTCTCAGGCAGAATCTGTCCTGGACCCTCAGAGGAAAATGAGCACGTGTGTCGGGGGGAGGGGGGACACTGCCTCTCCCCATCCCCCTATCCCCTTCTGCAGGTGCCAACGCAGCCGCCGCTGCCCTGGTTGTGCCCAGAGCTCAGTGACCTCGTCTGTCTGCTGCAGCAGTGACCGCCCCCCGTGCCGCCCACTGGGGCCACCCGCCGCCGGGCTCCGAGGTGCCCGCTGCTCACCCCTCAACCTGGGCGCCTGAGCCCTGAGCCGGCGCTCCCCTCTCAGCTGCGTCCGCTTGGGCCCCTCATCTTCCCTTATGTAACTCCACATCTGTCTGCGCCTTGCAGGTCACCCTGGACCCTGCGCTGGGCCCTGCCCGCAGGAACACTGAGCCTCAGGGTCCCGTGCATATGGCGGGTGGAGTGGACCCCTGGTCTGGGCACCCGCTCTCGGAGACCCCCTCCCAATCCCTTCTCCTCCAGACGTTCGTTCCCCACCCCCAGACCCACGTTCCCAAAGCATGAACGAGAAGGGGCCCGGCAAGGCAAGTTGCCCTGAGCACGGGTGCGGGCGCTTCCCCCACCCCCGACCCCAGGTTCCCACAGGCATCCGGGCTCCCAGCAAGGTCCCGGCTGGGGTCACCAGGGTCGAGGGCACAGGGAGGCCGAGCAGGCCAGGGACCGGCTCCTGGGTGCGCGGGCCGGCCGACCGCAGGCAAGACCCCAGACCCGGACATGCCCGGCTGGGCTCGCCGTCCGCCACGGTGCGCACCGGGGATGGGCTCCAGCCGCCCGGCGGGCACGCGGCGCTGTCCGTGGTGCTGCCGGCGCCGGGCGGGGCGGGAGCGGGGCGGGACGGGGGGGGGGGGGGGGCGGCAGCCAATGGCGGGGGCGCTCCCGGGGCGCGGGGGGCGGCGGGCTGGGCGCGGGGCGCACTCGGTTGCGCGCTGTGCTTGGGGTGCACGGTGGCGCCGGCAGAAGCTCGGGCTCCGGCTGCGCTCCGGCTCCTCTTCAGCAGCAGCTGCCTCGCCGCTGGCCCCCCTGTACTCCGAATCCGGCCCGGCGCCCTAGGCACCGCCCGCCCGGCTCCGGCCCCGGCTCCGCGGACCATGCGCCAGGCGCAGCCAGGGGAACCACACCGGGCCGAGAGCCCGCAAAGACGAGACTCCCGGGCCGGAGCCCCTCCCGACTGCCCGGCTCTCGACCTGCGCCCTGCCCCGCGTCCCGGCGCCGCGTGAACCTGCGGGGCCATGGAGCGCGCGCCGCCCGACGGGCCGCTGAACGCGTCGGGGGCGCTGGCAGGCGAGGCGGCGGCGGCGGGCGGGGCGCGAGGCTTCTCCGCCGCCTGGACCGCGGTGCTGGCCGCGCTCATGGCGCTGCTCATCGTGGCCACGGTGCTGGGCAACGCGTTGGTCATGCTTGCCTTCGTGGCCGACTCGAGCCTCCGCACCCAGAACAACTTCTTCCTGCTCAACCTTGCCATCTCCGACTTCCTCGTGGGTAAAGCCCAAGCTCTTGCTCGCCTCTGGAGCCCAAGGGCAGCAACCCTGGCCGGGCCAGCGGGGATTGAAGCGGGGACCTGGGTGGCTCTGGCAGACACACGTCCCACTGGGGGGCTCGGCCTGTGAAAGGGCACCCACAACCCGTGGGGATGTGTGTCCTAAAGAAGTTCCTCGCCACCCGGGCCGCGGGACAGGGGCTGGAGAGGGATGTCCCTCAGGAAGGGGCGCAAGCCGGCAGGCGCTCAGCGAGGCGCAAGGCGCAGCCACCGCGGGGTGCAGCGCTGGCTCCTGCGCTGTAGCTAAACAAAGGCTGCTGCGGTCTCAGGACACGGGGAATGCGTTGGGGGGGCGATTTGGGGGAGGGGGAGGGGATGAGGCCTGGGGGGGGGTTTAGAGCTGCGTTGGGGGAAGGGCCCGTAGGGAAGGCGAGCGGTGGGGGAGATGCTTGGAGGACGCGCTCTCACGTGTCAGCGCTCTACTGCCGGCTGGGGGGCGGGGCTGGTGGAGGGGCAGAGCGCCAGACACCTGTTGGGGCTGCGAGGTGCGCCTCTCAGACGCTGAAGCGGGGGTTGGCGGTGGGAGCGGCTGGCCTGGCTGCTGCCAAGTTCCCTACCAGCCGGAATTCTAAGCTACAGAGGAGGGCTGTCCCTGGAGGTGTGTGTGTGTGGGGGGGTGGAGGCTTGGGGACAGGGAAATTATCTGCCTTCCTCCCTTTGAAGGCTGGGAGGGCTGGGCAGAAGTCCAGGGAGTCCTAATTCCAGGCCCTACGGGTCCTGTCATGCCCAGAGGTCGCCATGCCTGCATTTTCCCTCCTGCCCCCAAGTCCCAGGACACCAGTGGGAGTGAAGGCCAGCCACGAGGCAGAATGTGTGGTGAGGACAGAAGGGGCAGGGGGTAAGACAAGGTTGGTCCCAGAGAGGCAGCCACCTGTGACCCCTGGTTTCTCCTTTTCTGTCCATGGCAGTCAGGCTGACCTGAGTCCCTGTCTAGCCATGGCCCACCTGCTCTCCCGCAGGTGCCTTCTGCATCCCTCTGTATGTGCCCTATGTGCTGACTGGCCGCTGGACCTTCGGCCGGGGCCTCTGCAAGCTGTGGCTGGTGGTGGACTACCTGCTGTGTACCTCCTCCGTGTTCAATATCGTGCTTATCAGCTATGACCGCTTCCTGTCGGTCACCCGAGCTGTGAGTCCTGGGAGGCCGTGGGAGGGGACAGCCACTTCTGAGTTGTGGGCAGGTGCTGCTGGGCTTGGTCCCTGACACGTAGGGCACTCTGGGGCTAGCGGTCTGTTCAAGGGGCACTTGCTGTCAGCAGGACTGGTCCCAGATGGGGCAGGAGGCAGGGAATCTGCACATGGAACCAGGTGTTCCTGAAGGAAGGGGTGTCACGTCAGCCTCCACCCTGGGACAGATCTAAAGCTCATGGAATTGAGGGAGGATCTGGGGTCAGGGGCGTGTGGCTCCACGTGCTTTACAAGTTAGGGATCCTGCCCCTGCCCAGGTCCCCTGTGTGTGTGCCATCTGGGCATGGGGCATTGCTACCAAAGTTGCTCCTTCCTCCATCTCCTCCCTGATGGCTCACCCGCCCCAGGCTTTGTCAGGGGTCCTCTGCTGGGGTGGACATGCGGTCCTTCCAGCCTAGAAGGCCTGAGAAGCAAGGTGCAAGGAGCCTGGCTTTGTGAAGGTAAAGGAGATGCCCCAGGGGCTACACACTGAGCCAGACACAAGCAGGTTCCCCTTAGCCCTGTCTAGGAACTGCTCTGCCCCATGCTCCCACCATGACAAGGTTGGTGGGGAAGGGCGACAGGGGGCTCTCAGGTCCTCCCATCTGAGATGCCTCACTGGGACCTTCAGGCCCTACAAGCTGGCTGGTTTTAGCACTTGGTGTCTGCAGCCTGAGCCCCACACTCGCTACTGCTACTGTTCTTTCTCCAGAGGCCTTAATGTGGGTCTCAGATGCTTTGCCACTGGTGGGGCAGGGTAGGGGGATTCTTCCAGCACTGGGCCAGCTGATGGCTCCATCCCTGCACCACCAGCTCCCAGGGCAGTGGCTGTCTACACAGGGGCAGCATAGAGGCCCCTGGAGCACAGAGCTCTGGAGGTGGCTCAGGCCTGCAAGATGCGTGTTGTCATAAACAATTGCATGTTAACCTGGGCTGAGGCTGAGACCGACTCTGGCACTGGAGTCCAGAGCTAGACAGGTGCCCTGGGGGAGCACACAGCTATAGCCCAGCACAAAGTTAGGGTGCAGATCCTAACAGCAGGGTATCAGCCAGCCAGGGGCGCCGCATGGGGGTGGAGGCTCTGGGAAAGTGAGGTCCAGGAAGGAGGGAGAGAAGGAGAAGTGGGGAGTATTGCTGCCCAGGGATGGGCATGCCCAGGGACCCAGAGACCACAAAGCTCCCAGTCCCACTTTCCTGCCTCCCGTTGAGCTCCTGACCCCACCTGTTCCTGGCAGGTCTCCTACCGTGCCCAGCAGGGTGACACACGGAGGGCAGTGCAGAAGATGCTGATGGTGTGGGTGCTGGCCTTCCTGCTCTATGGGCCGGCCATCCTGAGCTGGGAGTACCTGTCTGGGGGCAGCTCCATCCCTGAGGGCCACTGCTACGCTGAGTTCTTCTACAACTGGTACTTCCTCATCACGGCTTCCACCTTGGAGTTCTTCACACCCTTCCTCAGCGTCACCTTCTTCAACCTCAGCATCTATCTGAACATCCAGAGGCGTACCCGCCTCCGGCTGGACGGGGCCCGAGAGGCCACCGGCCCGGAGCCCCCACCTGAGGCCCAGCCCTCACCACCCCCGCCGCCCCCGGGCTGCTGGGGCTGCTGGCAGAAGGGGCAAGGGGAGGCTGTGCCACTGCACAAGTACGGGGCAGGCGAGGCTGGGCCTGGTGCTGAGGCTGGGGAGGCAGTCCTGGCCGGCAGCGGTGGGGCCGGTGCTGTGGCCTCACCCACCTCCAGCTCCGGCAGCTCCTCCAGGGGCACTGAGAGGCCGCGCTCACTCAAGAGGGGCTCCAAGCCGTCTGCGTCCTCGGCCTCATTAGAGAAGCGCATGAAGATGGTGTCCCAAAGCTTCACTCAGAGCTTCACACAGCGCTTCCGGCTGTCGAGGGACAAGAAGGTGGCCAAGTCACTGGCTGTCATCGTGGGCATCTTCGGGCTCTGCTGGGCCCCATACACACTGCTGATGATCATCCGAGCGGCCTGTCATGGCCACTGCATCCCTGACTACTGGTACGAGACATCTTTCTGGCTCCTATGGGCCAACTCGGCCGTCAACCCTGTCCTCTACCCCCTGTGCCACCACAGCTTCCGTCGCGCCTTCACTAAGCTGCTCTGTCCACAGAAGCTCAAGCTCCAGCCCCACAGCTCCCTGGAGCACTGGAAGTGACCCCTGCCCTGCCACCCACAGCCACACCCACTCACCTTGGTGTCCTGGGTGGCTGGGCCATGAAGCCCCATAGCGAGCCACGCCTCATCTGAGCACCTGTCTGAATGCCAGAGTAGCTATGGAAGCAGCATGTCAGGCTGGCCAGAGGGGCCTTCATTGGATGGACAGGAGTGTGAGTGGCTGGCCTGCCACTCACATCCTGGCTCCACCCTAGGAGGGACACTAGGGGGTCCCAGCCATGCCACTCTACACCCACAGACAGTGCGATGGCCAGTGGTGTCTGCCCTTCACACAATTACTGGTTGGTGTTCTTCCTGAAACATGCTTGGTGTGTGCCCCTCACCTCCTGCACGCGCACACCCCTGCACACACACCCACGTGCCGTCCTTCTCCCCAGACAAGCCCGGATGCTGTCTTGCTGCTGTCTCTTGCTCTCTTGCTCAAGTTTAGGGCCTGGCTCCCTCTTTCCTCTTCCCTCCAACGCTCTCTGCCACCCAGTGTCAAGTGGCCTAGGGTCCACGAAGCTGCTCTCTGCTTTTCCATTCTGGGTGTTTCCAGGAGGATGAAGAAGAAAACACGTCTGTGAACTTGATGTTCTTGGATGTTTAATCAAGAGAGACAGAATTGCTGAGGAGCTCAGGGCTGGATTGGCAGGTGTGGCTCCCACGCCCTCCTCTCTCTGCCGTGCTTCCGGCTGAGCTGTGCCAGCTGCTGCTGCCCGCTCCACCCCCATCCAGTTGTCGGGCCCTGGTGGCTCCAAGAGTGGCCAAAGCCTGACCTGCTGTCCTGGCCTGAGCCTGCCCCTGCCTCTCAGCTACTCAACCAGGACGTCTTTGGGGTTATTGGATAGAAGGGGCCAGCTGTGCTCTCAGGGTCCTGAGGCTGGCAGGGCAGCCAGCTGGAGAGCAGGCCCAGGGAATGCGGAGGAGGCTGTGACCATGTCCTGTCACCTGTGCCAGGCACCCCTGCATGCTCCACTGCCATGTGCCCGCTATGCACCCTGCAAACTGTGAGGTTACAATAAAGTGTATTTTTTTAATGGTGCTGATTCCTGAGGACCCTGTGGGGATAGTCAGAGCCCTGTGCTATGGCTGAGGATCACGGGAAGATGAGAGGCCCCTCAGAGGCAGGCATGAGCAGAAGACCTTAGTGTCCTAGTCTAAGTGGGGGCTGCAGCAGGCAGAGACAACCTGCCACAGCAGGCACTTGTGGGACTCTAGAGCTCTCAAGACCCCCCTGGGTGAGGAGATGCAGCCCACACTGCCTGATGATGGGAGGCCACTCCAACTTGGAGAATGCAGCTACCTGCTCAGGATGGGGTGCTCGTCTGCCTTGGCCAGCACCCAGGGCAGGACACTGGCCCCATGAAAGCCTGCACCACCCAGCCTGACCCCTGTGGGTGTAGATCCCACAGCGGGTGTGGGTCCCACAGTGCCCTGGCAGGACTCAGGGCCTGGGAGGCTCTCAGCTAGCCCCATGTGAATGGGGGTGGGGCTGTAGAGGGGTCTGAGCTGGATGTGGGGGCAGGGCTGGGGGTGGGACTGAGGGTGCAAGATGGTGACACTGGGATGAGGTGGGGGGAGGGTGGATGGTGACACTGGGATGAGGTGGGGGGAGGGTGGATGGTGTCCCCCTCAGAGAGCCATGAGTCCTGAGTCCAAAGGCAGCTGTGCCCATCTCAGGGGCCTGCACATGGGGGGGCAGATGCCATGCCTGACCCAGGTGCTCAGAGGCCACATGGAAAATGCACAAGCCCAATTAGGTGAGATGGAGACCTGGTATGACAAGGGCCACCTCCTCTGACAGTCCCTCTCCAGCCTGGAGGGCCCTTTTTGCTCTGACTCTCACTCCCTCTCCATGTTGCTGCTACACTGTGCAGGACACCTCTTGCATCTCCCCCGTGCTCATGGCCACTCTTACAGCTCGTGTGGGGGCCTTCTGGCTCATAAGATGCAGCCTGGCACAGGCATCACCTCCCGACTCATGCTGCAGAGGGGAAACTGTCCAATAAACCTCTGCCCCAGACATTTGCTCACACCTTACAGCTAGGGATGTACTTTTATTCCCCAAACTTCCCAGAAAACTGCCTCCAGAATCCAAACCCTGCCCTACTGTCTCTCCCCACACTTTTGATTCTGCCTCCCAGGATGCCCAAGGGACCCCTGTGATTGAGTCAAGACCCTTTTTATAGGCAGACCAGAGGAGGGCAGGTCCAGGGACAGGCGAGCTTCCCCCATTCATTCCTGTCCACACTTTGTGTGCTCAGCCTGGGCCAGACACTGTTTGGGTAGAGCTGGAGCAGTGATGGCAGGGGTCACTTTTAGGGCTGAGCCCCTCCTTCCTCTGAAGGCCCTGAGGCTCCTGCAGCAGGCCAGACACTGGCCCCATGAAAGCCTGCACTACCTAGCCTGGCCCCTGTGGGTGTGGGTCCCACAGCCAGAGCTACCTGGGGAAGGACACAGCACTGTCCTCTACAGGGATAGGCCCCTCCATGCCGACAGACCAGCAGAGCCCCGCTGCCCCTCCACCCAGCCCAGTTAAGTGGCTACAAATTGGAGGATAAAAGCAGAGGCTTTCAAGCAATTTTGCCTTCAATCTCTGGAAACTGCCGTTCCCCGGAGCTCCTGTGCGGGATGGAGGAGGAGAGAAGAAAGCCATGGAGTCTATTTGGCCCAGGTCCTGCAGCAAACAAACATGTGAGGGGCCTTTCTCCTTGAATCATGTCTGGAGGAGACAGAGCTGGGGCCATCATTGTCTGCCCACCAGCAGCTATGGTTTACCCAGCACCCACTGCTGCAAGGCCACCCCAGAGCAACACAGACACAGCTCCTGAGTTGTAGACCCCTGGCCTATAAGCCCATGAAGAATGTGGCAGTGCCCAGGACACCTATGTTGTCCTATGTGCAGGTGGGTGGCCTGGCCACCCAGCAGGAGCTACCTACAGCCCCCAGGCTCAGGGCCAGCAGGACCTCTCGGCCAGGCCCTCAGCAGTGGGCACTGGCTGTGCAACTCCAGCCTCCTCACCTGCCCTGCTGCTGGCTCTGGGGAAAAACACTGGGTACAAGTTAGATGAGGGGCTTTCCTTGCCTGGGATGAAGACCCTAAGCTCTCAGAGAGCCCAGCAGCCAACCCCACTCCCATCCTTCTGCTAAAGGGTCAATCACTGGGGAGCCAGGGTCATGGAAGGTTGGATGGGCTCTCTCAGGCAAGGGTTTCAGAGTCCTGAGATATGGGGCTACGTGGTTGTCTGGCTACTGCCTCTCTGTGCCCCATCCTATCCTGGCACTCACGGCTGAGCTTAGGGTATGAAGGACCTTCCACTGACATTTATGGGAACTCCTCCTGGGTGCCATCCTGTGGTGCTGACACTCTCCATTCTGCAGATGTGAGGCCAGGGGTTGGAGCCCGGTGTCCGGGTCACATGCAGTAGCCAAGCATAGCTAGCTTTGGAGCCCAGTCTGACTCTAGAGGCCCATGCTCTTCCTACTGCCTGCGTGTTCCCTGAGCACCTGCAGATGTGAAGCCAGGGGTCAGAGCTCATGTCCTGGTCACATGCAGTAGTTGGGCATAGCCAGCTTTGGAGCCCAGTCTGACTCTAGAGGCCCATGCTCTTCCCGTTGCCTGCGTGTTCCCTGAGCAGCTGCTGTGAGCGGGTTCCGTGGGGCCGTGCTGTGTGAAGCTGGCCTCTGTAGACTGTGCTATCCTGGAGCAGAGCCCAGGCCTCTGCCACCTCTGTGCACTGGACACACAGGGCTGCCTCCCAGGATAGAGAGTGAGATGGACACGTTAAAGGGCTCTATAAGCCTCAGAACCAGGCCTCAGCTATGTTGGTTTTAACAGAAAGGACTTATTGAGCACCCGCTGTATGTCCTCCATTGTAGCTGGGAAAAGCAGCCTCTGTCTTCATTTAGGCCATGCTGAGTCAGGAACTCAGGAGAAGAGAAGGGAGGAACAGGCAGCGTGGGTGTGGAGCCTGAAGTCCCAAGGCCCAATTGCCAGGTCAGGCAGCTTGGACTAGGAGGGGAAACTGAGGTAGAGGCGGGAACGCTCTGGCCTACCCAGCATGTCTGCTTTGAAGCTGGCACTAAAATCCAGCCAGTTCTGCCCCTTCCTGTCCCAGCAGGGCTGAGGGGTTGAGGAGGCTGGGGCCTAGGCATCCTCCTCTGCAGAACAGCCATAGCCACCTCACTGAGGTGGCCTCTGCCAGGGCCCAGGCACCACTTGGCACTGGCTCTTGCGTCTGACTGAAGCTCAGCAGGGCCCTTCGCCCGTGTGGGCAGGAAGCTCTCCTCCGCCTGCAGCAGGCCTCCCCGTCATTACTGAAATTGCCCCATTGTTGGTGGCTCCCGCACCTGCTCCCAGCGGACAGCGCTCTGCTAACCTGTCATTAAGCACCCAGGCCTCCTCTCTCCTGGCAGGCAAAGCTGCAAGGTGGCCAGTGGGGAGGACAGGGGCTGCCTCCCCCCATAGCCCCTCCTTCCTGTCCTGTGGGATGGGAATGAGCACAGGGATGGCAAAGGCGTCGGCACTGGGCCACTCCTGCTGGGCAACCCGGGCCCTGCAGCCCCTTCCTCACTGGAGACCAGACCCTCCCGGGCCTTGGGTGACATCCAGTGACCAGCACTGGGGGGGACATCGAGGGGCTGGGGATCTGAGATCAGAAGTCAGGGGTCAAGGATCAAGTTCCAGAGGGGCTTGAGTTTCTCCCTTGAGGACACACAAGGTCACCTGGGGGTAGAAGGAGACCCATAGGGCTGCTGCAGGAAAGTGATGCCTCCAGAGCACCCCCTGGGAAAGACCACCTCAGTGCCCAATGCACAGAGCAGGCTCAGGCCAGTGAGAACTGCTCCTGCTTTACAACCCTTGCTACGCTCCAGGCACCATTCTGAGCCCTTTCCTTAGCTAAACTTAGGTGCAGATGAGGAAACTGAGGCACAGAGTGATTAAGAACCTGTCCAACATCACAGAGCTGTGGTGAGAAGCCAAGGTGGTGCTGGCCTCCTTCTCTTTCCCTCCTGAACCCCACAGCCCAGACACTTACTCAGGAGACGGGGTGTCTTTGGGAACTGCTCCCCCCCACTGGCAGGCTCAGTAGGGCCAACCTCACCCCAGGTTCCAGTCAGAATCACGATAGGTTTGGAGAGCATACATTTCCCAGTCCAGCCAGCAAGCAGCCAGCCTGGGACTCAGACTGGAACCCTGAGAAGCTGGGGTCCCTCTCCAGCTAAACTGCTGGCTGTCAGCCTCCAAGGCTGTCCTTACTAGGTCCATGCTGTGGAGGGAAGAAGCCAAGCAGAATCAGAAAGAGAGTTTCCTGATGTTGTTTGAGCACCTGGATCTAGCCTCACCTGAAGGTAGCCCTGGAGCTTTATGTTTCACAAATTATCAAATGCACCTTTTTTTTTTTTTTTTTCAGTTCTTGGCCATGGCTGGGTTCTAACCCACCACCTCTGGTATATGGGGCCTGTGCTCTACTCCCTTGAGCCACAGGCGCTGCCTTTTTTTTTTTTTTTTTGAGACAGAGTCTCATTATGTCACTCTCAGAGTGCTGTGGTGCTTTACAACACTCACTACGCTCACAAGGGCATCACAGTTCACAGCAACCTCAAACTCTTGGGCTTAAGTGATTCTCTTGCCTCAGCCTCCCAAGTAGCTGGGACTACAGGTGCCCACCACAAT